CCGCAAATCGCGTGTGGAGAAAAAAATCCATGCTAACGAATGCGCAGGAGACGACGCCGTCTCGCTGCGTAGCGGAGCGATATCTCGTTTAATCGAGACGGAAATAATTTTTTATGCGGCACTCGCCGCGCCGCGCTCCGGGGGCGATCCAATTACTCAAAAGGCGAGCGTCATTCGCGTAAAGCGACGGAACAAATTATTGTTATCGTTCCCCGTCGTCGGGTCTAATCTACGTGTAGAATTGATCCACACCCCCCCCTCAGGGGGTTGGGGCGACTCACCCTCTCCACCACTCTCCCCGTGCCCCACGCAACTATTTATCTAAGTCCCGCGCTTTCCTCGCGCGGCCAAGCGCGCGCGCGCCTCATTATCGCTCGTATAATGTGAGGAAAAGTCGCGTAATCGCTTAATGGCCGCTCGTCTAAAAGTCATTAGTTTTCTTTAGCCCGCATAATATATTGGGTACTTATGCAACGGGATTCAAATAATTAATGCGGAAAATGGCAATCGGCAAGCGCCCTTCGCGGCGGCGGTATAATGGGATTAATGTTCACTTAACGTTCACCTAACTTCGCTCCTTACGAAGTGGCATTTGGCGCGTCGAACTCTCCTAGTCGTCGATTAAATAAATCAGGAGAGAGCCTCAACTACGTGGGCACACTCGCGACAGATTCGATCGTGAGATACGATAAGATCCGTCTGCATTTTTGACTCCCGACTGTATAAATACCATCCGCGAAGGCATCCGATATGTTACTCGCGAATAATTCGAAACGTTATATCTGAGACGTTACATCGGTTATAAACGGCATCACAATTCGCGAAACGTAATAGCTGGCGTTGGAAGGGATGGGCGCGACGACACCGGAGAGGAGGAGGAGGAGAAGGCTTTAAAGATATATCGCGATTTTACACTGTCGTTGCGCCGTGAAATGCGATACGGCTTTCGGAGTTTCTGTAAATAACGGGGGAGGGGCACGCGGGGAGAAATCCCGTGTGCGCCATTTCTCGCGCGCGAATCAAATCCGCGTCGCGACAGGCGCCCGTTATTTGACTTTTAACGAATTACCCCGTTCGTCGACCAGCGATCCTTGACTATTCCTAAATCATACCCCGTGAAACGATGGATCGTGCCCTCCCGCACCTCCATCTCTCATCCAATATAGTTTAAGCGCGCAAATTTCGCGAAGGGAGGAGAAAGGTTACTTATCTTTGAGTTTTATGAGCCGCACTGGATAAATATATACGTGCTGCCCGAAAGAGACTTAACGGTCGAGTTATATTCTCAACAAAAAAAAAACAGAAAACAAAATTTTTTAAAAATCACTTTGCAGAACTTGTCAAGTTATTGGAAATAACGTAGAAGTTTTGAAATAATAAGACGACGGAATTCATTCAGTCCGTATCCTGTTCATTCCGCTTATTACGCTACCGATTCAATATGCCTAACGATCGCACTTCCTACGAGTCATTTCACTGGCAAAGTCACCCTTCGGATGTAAAGAGAAAGAGAGAGACGAACAGCGGATGCGATACTTTGCGCGGTAATCCGCCATACTCACGAAAGAAACGGGATGTCGCGTGTCCCCGGCCGCGCAAGGAAGAGAAAAAAAAACCCCGACTCGACCGGACACGCGCACGCCGGCAACCTGCTCGGGGCCGAGGGAAGCCCTGCCGGGGCATATATACGTGACCGTATGGTGACCGGCCGGCAATCCGCTGGGGGTGCGCGAGAGGAATATGCGAGGGAAGGGGGAGAGGGGTCACCCAGGGGGACATATGTCGGAGACACGTAATTCGCCGACCACGCCTCAATGATCGTGCGGCACGCACGCGGGCGTCCGCTCACGCACGCACGCACGCACGCACGCACAAACGCATGCACAAACACACGCACAGATACAGCCGCACGCGCGCGTGCGGCTTGAATTTGATTACACAAAGGGGCCCCGTGACTCCGGCGAGTGGCGATTGGAGGGGAGGGGGGTTACTCTCAAAGGAGAGAGAAAAAAGGAGCACGGGGGAAATCGCGAAGATAGATTCCCGGCGCGATTGTGGGCCAGAATTAATCCACGGGGTCGGGAAATGAGCGCGATTAAACCGTGGATCTGTCGACGTCGAATAGAATAAAATTGTTTCCTCCCCTGCGAAGCTCTGACCTCTCTTTTATCTTCTCAGCCCACATAGATTAGATGATTTCAAAATTATTGCTCTTTTTTTTACGTGTAACGAACAGTGAGCGAACTGTAAACACTCACGCTGTAGAGCGATTACCAAACTAGATAAACCGAATGCGGAGGGCTGCCGCTGAAATTACGACGAGTAATAAGCTGTTTTGCCGTGTATTATCCATTAAAAGCCGTAGATTTAGCCGTAAAAGGAAGCGCGGCAATAGGTCCGCTCCCGCCAGCGAATTGATGGGCATTACGCTAAAGTTATTTTCGACCAAAAATTGGCATCGTAAAAAGTTAATGAGCGTCGGGCTACATTATTTGCAGCGCAGGAATAATGGCGCGCATAATTAAACGTGCAAACAGCGAACGAAATCCCGGAAAATCAATTTGGTGAAAGCACCGACTTGTAAATAACCACCAATAATCTCCATGCTTTGTGTATTGCGCTATATATATATATATAACAAGGTGTATCAAACCCACCGATATATACGTAGATATATATATATGTATATATAAATATATATGAATATATATGAATATTTTAATAACAGACAGTCTATAAAGGCGAAAACAAGAAGAAAGCAGTTCGTGTCGAGACATTGATAGAAATTTGCAAATCATAATGCATTCACTCTATTTTTTAATTACTTATTACATAAATTAATATAGGATTTGTAAACTACTATCTCGAGTCTACCTCTACATATAACAGAGAATTACAAATTGGGGAGGTATATAAAACTGATAGCTGAGATTTGTCATATCCCGAATGTTTGGTTGACGAAAATCGGTAATAGTGAGAAGAGCTGAAAAACCCGGTGCGGTTTTATTATTAGTGTGTTAATCCGTGAGAAATGTAAATGAGTGCTAATCACTCGTATAACTGTTCGTTCGACCACTGTGAAAATATACGGGTGTTATTTCTAGTCGTCTGTTCCACATAGCACTCTCGAGTGTATTATCGATAGATCGACGAGGTCTAAATTCGACGCTCCTTAAAAATAAACGTAATGATAATTGATTGGCTGTGTGAACATATTCGGAATTATTAAATTTTCAAACGGCGGTATTTCGCGCACGCTGGGGGAAAGTTTCTTTTCCGATTCGATAAACATTCAGAAAAAAATATAACACATCGTAAAAAAAAAAAATCGTGAATAAACGACAACGGTGGGCTAAGTGCATCGTAAAACCGCGCCGCGTGTCCGTGTTCGCCTCTCTTATTTCCGTCACCGGCGTCTCCGTCACCCTCTCGCTTCGAAAGCAGGCAATTAAAGGGAAGAGAGCTGGAGCGAGGGGAAAGGGGAAGAAACGACAAGAGATATCCAGCACGCGCAATATTGCGCGTAATGCTTGCGTGACTGTAAAAAAAATTTGGTTAGTTTAAAACAGAAAAAAAAGAGAACCCGCTCGGGTAAAATCGCGCGACACTCTGGTAAAATAATATTGTTGTTGCTTTTAGGAAGCGTCCTCGTGCGACGATGATTAATGGACGCCCGCGACAATGGGTAGACGTCAGCAGATACGCGTGAAACCACGGCGTTACACGTGAATGTCGGCACGTGCGCCATTGTTAGGGAAATAGACTTGAATGGTGTGTTAAACAAATTTCACTCGCGAACGAAATATCCGACAGGGATGAAAAGTTGCGCCGCGCAAGATTCTATACCGGCGACAAATGTGATTTATCCCGTAGCGATAAGCCCGTGTGCTACGTCGTAATACGGAGGATCTTGGTATTACCGTGTATAGGAGACTTTAAATTTGCGTGAAGGAAATTTTTAGGGCGAATTTGCGTGAATTATAAATGTTCGGTGCGCGTGTAATACGATCGTTACGAGAAGATATTTAAGCGACAGGTTTCTGTAAATCTGAAAGTATGTCCAAAATTTTATATCGTGCTCCATAGTAACGTAAGAATCAGTCGACCATGTGTGTCGATCGTGAGATTAGTGTTAAAAAAAATATATATATTCGTATTCGATAAAATAATTTTTATAGAAGGCTTACCTAGTATAAGGTTTGCAGCAGTATATTCGTGCAGAAAGAGTGACCGTTTGAAAACTTTCGCGAGTATACAGAGTACCGGGGGCATTTATATAGCCGCGCTCCGTATGACGGAAAACCGTGTAATTAAAATTCGCGTCATCCTCCGCCCGCGCGCGGATCCTGAATTCTACTTCGTGCCAGAAGACCTATGTGTACATAAAAAGTTTGACAAAAGCAAATGGGTGCCGCTTTTGTGACCGCATTATACCGTAATGCAATATTACTAGGACCAAACTTTTTTGCGAAACCGCTGTGTGCACTGCACAGCTTACTCACAACATTTTTATACGTCAGGATAAGTAGCGCCAAAACAATTAAACTAATTCCGTAACCTCCCGAAATTTTCAACGCCCAAGTGGTAACTTCAACCTCCCAAACGTGGATGTCGCGTATAAATTATCGTTCGATCGTTGTATCAAAGTTACAGCGAAAGAGGTTTTTCAGAAAGAAATTGTACGTTTAACATTTCTCGCGACGAGAGACACGTCGATTACGCGAGCGCGAGACACCACACGGAATCGCGTCTCCGCGCGAGATTTTCGGAGGAGGTAGAAACCGCGATGATATCTCCCCGAGATCTCTCTCCCGGAGATCCGCGCGCACGGTCCCTCACCGTGGCGCAGAGATACCGATCAAGTCGATAAAGTCAAGGAGTAAAACCGGGTACGGGGCAGAGAGCGGGGAGAACGCAAAGTAAGACATAATTGCGCCATAATGGGAAACGAAGAAAGTAAGAATAAAAAGAAGATGAAGAATGCCGGGCAACACACTGACCTTGAGCACGGACGACGGTGAGCAGGCCGGCGAGGAGAACGATCGGATGGCACAGCATCATCTTTTCTTTTTCTTCACCTTCCTTCCCACCTCGAGGCTACTTCCACCGGCCGTCCTCCAGCTCGTCTTCACTTTTCTCGTCTCTTCTTGCCGCACGCGTAGGTTCGCTTTCCTCACGCAACCAATAAAAAATAAACACACTACTATTACGCCCTTCTTCTCGTCCTTTTCCCTTTCTCTCTCCCGCTCCACCCGATCCTCAATGCGCGACGTCCGGTCTTCCCTCGCGTGCCGATCACTCGATGGTATTTCCTTCGAACCGCTCGCCACTCAATCGCCGTTTAACGTCACGAAAGATCCTGCGTTCAGCACTCATATCACTCCTCCCTCGTCCGCTCTTCGCGAGAGACCGGCTGTCTCTCCGCGCTCCGTGGTCTAACCGCGTCTCTCCACGAATCCCCTCTTACGTTAGAAAAGTGTCCCATATGATTTCACGTCACCCGTTTCACTGATGACTCGTCGGCAGATGTCTACGATCGTCGACCCGCTCCTTCGCTCATTCTGGAAATCAAGACGACGGCCGTTCGAGTTTTCGCTAAACCATCGGTTTTGCAAAAACCGACGCAGAAATGCGCTTTATCGCAAAGTGATCGGGGTCAGAGATCGAAAGTCATGTATCGCGCGTCAATGCATTCTATCGCGAAATGACGACGGTCAGAAATCGAGCGTCGTATGCGTCTTTCTGTCCTACACGAAAAGAACTGTACTTTTTGCTGAATACAAATCTGGAAACAATTTTTGTTCAATAATCAAAATAATTTTGCGTAAAAGTCTAAATGATTGCTAGAATATCAAAACGTTTTATAGCAATGCTTATCAGTTTTAACGGTCCAACAAATTATTTTAATGATTTAATAAAAAATTACTTTCAGATCTGTTTTCAGCAAAATTTTTAGATCTTTCAACAAAATCGTTCTTTCCGTGTATTTCCGTATTTCCGACGAAAAGGGGAACTCGGATTCGCGGTCGAATTCGCGTTTCGATTCGAACGGGGATTTCGCCGGATCGGGAGCGCGGAATGTTATAAAGCGGCAGCGGGGGAACGGAAGCGGAAGGAAGAATCGCGACGAAGATATCGCCGGGGATAAGAGGAGCAGTGGACCAGAGCACTGGGCAAACTCAATGAAACGAGGGAGGGAGGGGGCGGAAAACTTGCACGGGGGAGGATCAGCCGCGCCGACAAACTTCGGAGCGGGCGGAGGCGCGCGCTCGAGAAAGAGCTGATGGAAGAAATAAAGAGTCCGACGTGGCGCGGCGATCGAGATGAGACGCCGCTTCTTCTCGCCTCGAAGCGAAAGTTGCTCGCCGCGGGGAAAAGTGGGATATGAATATGCCTCTAATGATCCAGTCCGACGGCGTGAATTTGTTCCGCTATATAGTATGTATCGCCTTCTCCCACCTCCTCCTCACACACTACCCTCGTTCTGTTCCGCACGCGCATTTTATCGCACGAAGAGAGACGTGCACGCGTCACGAACGAAGCCGTTCCCTCTCTCGGCGAGCTTCATCGCTCCGTCGATGATCGATGAAGAACTCGCGGGCACGTAAAAGGCGAGCGCGTATACCAGGTGGCCTCTCTCGAACAGGAACACGACGCGCCGTCCGCGTCGTTGCGGCAGACCGCGCGGGCTCGAATAACACTTTTACGAGGTTTCCGAGGCTTCTACTCCCATCAGGAAACTCAGCCCGGACGATAACTCGCTTGATCGCTCGCGTACACTGTTCTTCCGAAGACCCCGATGCATTCCGCGCGGTTCCTCCTCGCCCATCTTTCGCCACTTTCAACGGCACTCAACGTCTCCGCTCCGCAGGCGAGACGTAATTGAATAAAACCGCTAAGTGATTAATTGCCGGAGCCTCTCCGTGGCCGTTCCTTCCATACCGCCCGGCCAACTTCGTGCTCGAGTTTAAAAGATCCCGAGCTCTCGGGCAACTTTAAAGGATCCGTGAACGGAGCAAGCCTTCCAGCTGGTCTGATAATCCCCTAACTCCCGCGCCATCGACACTGCACCGGACATTCTTACGATACCTATTCCTATCTCGAGGATGTTTCGGATGTACTAGAGAAAAGCTAATTAAATAATAACAGATAAACGATAATTTTTTATAATGCGTACAAATCGAGCGTATAAATGAATCCATTATTGAGAGGCTTCCGAAAAAACATTGTAAGGTGTCCGTTTTATATTTCAAGGGCCGACTATTGGCCGTAGAAAAATATCCACCGCAAAACCGTATCCCGCTTTGGGTTGATAAATTACAGTTTTGTGGTCAGACAAATCGATCGATAAAGAATTGGCGATGGGAACGTTTCCTCGAAGCTACGTCATTTTTGTGCGAATTACCAACTTCCTTTCCTTCTTTCGTCGAAAGAAAGAGAGGGAATCTGAATCAGAGAAAGAGAGAGAGAGAGAGAATTTTAACGATATTGTTATTGCTTCTACTACATTTCGATTGTTTGTCGAACTATAAAAGTCGCATTAATACAAACGCGTAAACATTCCACAGCCCTTGGAGACAATGTTTATTGAGCTACGCGAAGGGACCGTAGACCGCGCTTGGTAGCTCGTAGGAATAAAATTACGGAGGGTAGAGTCGATTGCGCGAATGCGCTTTCATCTTCCTACTTTCTTTACGGCCTTTAAATTCTCGAACTCGAGAACGTCAACAGTAACACGGAAACAACACGGAATTTTCGTCGAATCTCCTTTTTTTTTTTTTCACTAGAAATTTCATCGGCAAACAGCACATCTGGTAGCATCCTGCGCGCCCGGCAAGGTTCCCCCTGCATCTCCGTTGCGGATGTTATGGTTTCTCGCGCGTTCAAACATTCAATACATCACTCCACGGGAGGATCTAACATTTCTCTCGGCTGTAGGTCTCGTCCTGCCTCGTAGTTGACCGTAACGGAAAAGTAAATGCGTGAGGAAAATGCGTACAAAAATACGCGAACAAACAGCCCGAGTGCAGTGACGTTAACGAAGGTGACGATCATCCCTTCATGACGAGAACCACGAAAGATGAATTGAAGTCCTCGTTAAATATCACACGACGATAATACCATTCACAATTTCGATCTCGGTTTTCCTCGATACCTACATCTCGCGCGCGCACGAGTGTTGTTTTTCTTCGACGAAAAAGTCCGATGGAAAAGTCGGTTCCGCTTTAATCGTGATATATGGTCCAACTTGCGCTATTAAATCGAATTTACTTATACGTCTCCTCACGTTTTAGGCCGGGGAGAGTTTTACTAGTTTAAAACTTGTGCGCGCCGACAAACCTTGGTGGGTGGGGGATGCGTACCCCCGGCCGTTGAGAAAGTAGGATCCAATGAATTTATCGGTTTTCACGGAAGTTAAAAGTCCTAGCGGGCCTCGATAAGTAATCTCACTGACCTTGTGGCAGGGAGATGGGAATACATTTTCTTTTCTCTCATCCCCCTTTCTTTCCTTTTCTTTCTTTCTTTTTTTGTATCGCGCGTTAATTGACGTTTCCGCGAGAAACTTGGTTGTACGTCGGTTCTCTCCCGGTTTCTTCACACGGCTTTCAAGCTCTCGATTCGTCAGTTTTCTCGTTTTTTTTTTCGTGTTTTTTGTTCCAAGTTAAAAAAAAGAAGAAACGAACAGCCTCGCACTCCATCGCCCGGGGGCAACGCTCGCCGAACGAGGAAGGTGGTGCCCGCGCTGCTAACGATAACGTTTCGCTGTAGCGCCTTCACCGATCTTGCCTGGGTTCTGCGAAAGGTCTCGCGACACGCCAGCTCCAATTTGTCGGCGAAAGAGAGCCCGGGGAGCTCTCGGCGAGAAAAATCGTTAACTACCCGTTTCACAGCTAGAGGGCTGGAGTCACCGCGACAAATCGAATTTGCTAATAGGGCTCGAGCTCCGGCTCTTTCCCTCCCTCAGGCCTGCGGGGAGGAATCAACGCGTGGCAGATATGCGGGGTATACGTGTCCCGCCGTGCTACATCGGAGGGTCACCGAGGAATGTCTCGCCGCCGTCGCGTTAACTGAAAACGCTCGTTAAAACGCGCTTATCAGCCCCCTCCGCGCGCGCGCGGGAATTCGCGATACGATTAGCCGAACGCGAGTATATATGTCGTAGGGGGAATGCGACACTAACGAGAGAATACCATAGGGAGGATGGCATGCGCTTTTGTACACCGTTCCTGTTTCAAAACACAAATTTTCGCTAACTTTCACTCATTTTTGAGCCGAAATTTTTGCAAACTGTGCGTGTGCACGCCGACGGGACACCGGAATCTCGGCGACCACAAGCGCGCGCGGGGCCTCGGAAAACGTTTGTAAAACGCCCATAGCACGGCGTTCGAAAACGCAAGCTAGATTAATTAAAGTTTAAACGAATATCAAACGCCGCACCCGCCGCGTAATAATCGCGGAAAGGTCGCTTTAAACGCGGGCGAGTGAAATTAATAGAAATAAAAGTCGGAATTCCGCGATTAGGCCAGTGGAAGCGTTCGAATGATTAACGGTAAAACGCGTATATTTCGATTCTTGCATTTTTCGTCTAAAACAGGGATCGATTGATCGTAACACTAAAAAAGTGGTCAGATTCAAGTCTTCGCTCTCCAGTTGGCGTGTTGAAGGAATTCTCCTTTAATCCAAATCCGCTGTAACGATTTGAGAAACTACATCGCTCCAATGTGAAGAAAATCGAGGAGGTCCCGTCGACACCGGATGACAACTGACTCCATCGCTCGTTAGGAGATCCCACGGGCCGCACATTCACGGGGGAGGTTACGTGCTTCATCTATCATTCAGCCAGTTGTGCCGTGTGTTTACTTAGCAAAAACACCTGTCGGCACCTCTCCCCGCCGTTCTTCCATCGGCGGATGGTGGAAGAGCGACATCGACACCGATCGTTTCGCCGATGAAAACGACGAAAATCCGACCCGGGACAGCTGGAGGGATGCGGATTCCAATCACCGTACGGCCGGCCGATAAAAAGCCGCGGAACTCGTTAAGCCGCCACCGCCGCTGCCGCCGCCGCTGCCGCGCGACTGCTCTCATCCCGATACGCGGGCGGATCGACATCGAATAAGAATCGAAAAAGGGAGGTAGAGAGAGAGAGCGGGAGGAAGAGAGAGAGATGCCGACAATCTCGGAATCTCGGTTGGAAAATCCCCGCGATGCACCGAGAATCACGTCACACACCGTGACTATCGACCTTCCGTGATTTACAGTAGCGCTGGGTAAAAGGAGCACCGGGAAGAGAGAAAGAGAGAGAGAGAGAGAAATAAAGGAGGACGCGACCGACGGAAAAGTCGGAACACGACTTTTCATCGAGGGGCAGAGGAGGGGAGGGGGAAGAGGGAAGGAGGAAACGCGACGTGTCCCGGCGAGAGAAAGACGCCCCGAAGATCCCGGGACTACCCGCTGTGACGGGCGTCCCGCTTTAAAATTCGACATCGACCACCTTGCAAATCCTGTAGCGGTTACCGGAGCGGTTATTTCCCCGAGGCGGTTTCGTCCGCGGGGACGATGCGGTGCGAGAGGAGCGGCGCCGCGGGCTGCGAAAAGAAATCTCCTTCCGCGCGCGCGTTTACAATTTCGACGCGGCTGAACAATTCCGCACGGTTATATCGGATCGATCGATTCCGATCGATCTGCTCGCTCGCTCGCTCGCGGGGGACGCGCCGGGAGAAACCGGAGTAGCCGTGTATATTTGCGACACCGCGCGCGCGTTATATACACGGTGCGGAACGAGACACGCGTACGCTCACCACGATCGCGGGCTCGGCACTGGCGCGCGGTGGCGCCCGGACTTTTAGTTCGTGGCGCTACCGAGCAGCGTCGCGACGCCCGCCGGCATCTCTCGTCTCTCGCTCCTCTCCCCCCACCCCTCCGCCTAGGGAGCGGCGACGTCCACCCGGTGCGGTGCAACATCAGGAGGGGTGAAGAGGGGGGGGAGCCCCCCGCCTGAATATCCCATGCTCTCCCTCCCCCTCCCTCTTGCCGGTCGACGATGCCCGCGATAGGTACCCCCGGCGCACGTACTGTCAATCAAAAGAACGCGAGATAACATCCGCGGATAAAGGCTGTCAGTCCGCTTTATCTGTACTTTAGATAATGAAATCCCTAACTTCATTTTCCACAGAGCGAAAATGCGCAATTATTCCGACGTCGATTGAGATGTGTATATGTATATAGTTACATTATATACATATATTATATACATTTATTTGTAGGATTATTATAGCATCTACTACAAAATGAGGGCAAGAAAGGAAGTAATCGTAAAACATTAATAAATTATAAATTAGCTATTGACATATACATTTATGTATATTATTTTTGCATATCTTGTGTTGCTTTACAATTACTTTTTCTCCTTCTAAAGGACTCTGTACATGTATAAAAAAAAGCAATTCAAATTATTGCAGTTGATAGTTAATTTTGATACATCGCCGCGTTGAAAAGTGGCACAAGTAAAAAAATGCTAATTTGTCACCTTTTTTATCAACGCGGTGGTATAATTTACATTTATAATTTATATTGACTAGAACAAAACAGAGCGTGCGCTTTGCGCGCGCCATTTGTTCACTATCCCTGAAACATAACACACACACACACACACGCACGCACAAATACAAATATCATATTAAATATCTATTACTTTTATATATCTCTTACATATATCTCATGTCCTATTTAAAAAAAGGCATGTTAAGTCGATAACTTTCATTTCTCGTCTTACTTTTTTTTCCAAGTATCAGTAAAATATTATTAAAAAAATATTATAATACTGCTAACAATATCTTTTGTAATCAACAAATATGTCGAAACATGTTTTTTACAATGATTAAAAGAAAAAGGAATTAAAGGAATAAAATAGCGATAGAAGGAAAAAAGAAATGTAAAAGCTTTAAAACAAAGAGAATTAAATTCATTGGTCTTTTATAAAATATTATATAAGTACATACATGTCGCTTCACCTTCGTGTGTTACATGCATAATTGTCAGATGCTGTGTCTAATTAAATTCATTAGTCTTTTATAAAATATTACTTAAGTACATGTCGCTTCATCTTCGTGTGTTACATACATAATTGTCAGATGCTGTGTCTAATTATTACAGCGAATAATTAGACACATCATTTGACAATTACATATGTATATAACATATGAAGGTGAAGGGACATGTACTTTTGTAATATTTTATAAAATACCAATGAATTTAATTAGTGATCAATGAATTTTATTATTAAACCAAATCTCAATACACATAATAACTGTCAAAATTATGTATGATGAACTGTCAAAATGATGTAATGACAGCCGCTCAACGAAGTAAGCATAGTGAAATAACCAATCATGGAAAAGCGGCAACAAATAATTTCGAGAAATCGACTTAACATACCTTTTTTTAGATAAGCTGCTCGGTAGCAATAGTTCTATTTCTATGGTATGACGCTTCCCATTTAGATGGAAAATACTTTCGGCGGACATAAAAATTTTATTTAAATAACAAGTTAAGAATATTGCTACATAGACCTCTATTATGTAAATCGAGAACCAGAATCAGAACAAGAGTACGTAAAACATATTCTGAATAATGTACTTCGCAATACAAGTTTTTGTTATAGAAATAAAAACGTCGGAAAACATCATTGGGATTACAAATCAGATTCGGTTTCTTGCTTTATCCCGGCGCGGCGCGGCGTTAGTTTTAATTTGTCGCAAACTTTGACACATATCTCACCAAAAATTCAACTCAATTTTCCGTTTATATTAGGATGGACCGCTAAACGTTGCTGAAACGTTTCACGTACGTGAACACACCGTCGTGTCACGTAAAAGGAACGACAAAGAAAGGAAAGAAAATTATAATCTGCTTGAAATGCCACCGTTCCACCATCCGAATAATATACGCTACACGAGATCCATTTAAATTACGCAAAGCAGGAGATCCCGGTAATCTCGGTGTCCAAGACTAGTCCTGCTCCTGGTCTCCTAATTAGTCTAATCGCTCTATAAAACAACACATAGACATACGAGTGTACGTACAAATGAGAAAGAGGGAGAAAGATAGAGTCCAGAAATATTTGGAATTTCACGTGAAATGTACATAGGTTGACGGATATCCAGCGAATTATGATTGAATCTCGTCGGCGAAGAACGAAAAACAGTGCTTTATTATTCTTATCGTCGATAGTGGATATTTAACAAGAGAACCGTTCTCTTTTTTTTTTATAATAAATAACAGGACATAAAAGAGAGGGAGATTACCGCGATACGCGTTAAAAAATCAAAACAAAAGAGTACCAGTTTCATGTGTGTGTGTATGTGTGTGTGCGCGCGCAACGATCACCACGCACTTTATACCAATTGCGTTGCCATGGTAAAGGGAAGCTTATAGGATTTCTCGTTTCTATCACTGGTTTACTATAGTTTCCACTGAGAGGGTGGAAGAGCCGCGGTAAGCAGCTCTTTTCCCGGTGCGCGCGGCTCTTACCGAGAGCTGGGATGGTGCCTTTCAAGAACGTCTTGTCGAACGTCTCAGCGACCATGGGAGTAACCTGGCAAGAAGGAGGAAGAAGGAGTAGAGGAGGCGGGAAAGAAAATAGCGATGAAAGGGAGGACGGGGGAGGACCGGAAGGAGAACCGCGAGAGAGCGGGAACGAGGCGCGTACGCGCGTACACGTCAATGTCGGTAACGTACGATCGGAGGTATTTCCGCACAATTGGCCGTGATAACGCTCGCAGCGGTAACTTAGTTGTCGTCGCTATCTAACGATTCCCGACGAGATACCGACGTGAAAGATAGGGAAGATCGTGTTCAGAAATCTTACCGCTCTTCGCTCGCTCGGGCGGCGCACGTCGGCGTCCGTTGTTTTCAGCCGGTTGTGCACGAGGTCTAGCTCACTCGGATGTATATCAGGAAGCTCCTCGCTGCTCGTTAATTAGAATAATTAGCGGCAACGTGCGGAGTATCGCATAATTTTTTTCTTCCGAATTTACGCGAGGCGTGTTTGTGTGAGTTCTGTTCGCTCGTACATATAACATATAGAAGCTCGATAAGCGTAACTCGAATCGCCGATCAGACAGTGAGAGTGTAACTATAGACTAATTAGGATCTATCTTCCAGATGCGAGAAGGAGTAGAGAAGAAGGGTGACTTGTGTCGGAATAACATTAAAGTGACACAGCGATATATCGCACGAATTGGCGCGTCGCGTTTTCGGCTCTAGAGATCGTAAAAGTGACGAGCGATTGAGCAAACATATACGAATCGTATGTGTCGTAGTGGCCCCTATATATACCTGCGAATTAAATTCTGCAGAAAATTTCCGTAGAAGCGAAGCACGTTCAGCGCAAACGTTCTGTCCTTTTGCGAGAGCTGCGCTTTACATGACGCATCTCGTATCAAGAGCCTTTCCGCTCCTTTCGCTAGATCGCACTGGACGGAGACGAAAGTTGTCGCCGGTCTCCGCGAAAGGATCATAACGGCGAAACGAGCGAAAGTAATGTCGGGGGCAAAGCCGCAATGACTCGAGAGCACAAGCCGCGTAACTGCAACGGCAAACTGCACCCGGGCGGCATTGTAACAATTCAAGCGCGCGTTTCCAACGGTGCGCTTTTAACGATAAGTGTATTTAGCTCGACTGCCCACGGGAGTAACGGCGCGATTAGATAAATTATTTTTCATCGCGAAAACAGGCCGCAGAAATAATATCTAGACGGACAGTCGTACTCTGCCGTCGCGAATCGAAAGCTTAAAAATCGAATTGGATGTCGCCGATAAAGTTCAATCCTATATCGACAGCGTGATTTAACGAGCGCATTTTCGTTCTCGATTGCGAGAAGGAGCGCGTCATACTCGATATATATAATTTATAATAATCTGTTGTAAATATTAATTATTAACGAAATATATAATTAATCGCGCGCTCGAGTGATGGAAATGTCGCGTAGGAACTCGCGGGAACTCGAGGTCAAGTGAACAAGTGACACGTTACGACAATCGTAATTTTTGATAATTGCGCTGCTTGCACAAAACGGATGACGCACGAATCGAGCAAAGGTGGAACTTTCACCGTATATGAGTTGCAGGCTCTGCGCGAAATGAGGAACGATCGTTTCATCGACCAAAGGTGTACGCCTAAAGACTAGGATAACCGTCGTACCGACGTGTGCGGGCGCGTTGTACGCGCGCACAGCACACAGGCGGAGAATGAAGAATGGAGGAGCCCCTATTCGGGTGGACGTCAGAATTCTGAAGCAGCCAATTCCGATCTCGTCGGACAGCTTAAAGCAGAGTAGAATGTGCCAGTTTTTTCGCGCTGTAACGCGAACTCCTTCTCGAGCGTTCGGAATTAGTTGCGCCGGGCGCATTACGTACGTATGATGGCCCGTATCATCGATCATCGGGGATATATATAAATGATTCGAGTCAAGGCGAATTACGAACGTATTGGCCGATATTTTACAGGATCGCCCCGCCGTTGTGACATATTATTAATTAGCCATTAATCGGCAAATTCCGGGATAAAGCGAAAACGTCCGATTAAATGTTTTCGGGGGATACGAGGGATCGCAATATACGGACGGCGGAATGCGAGTTGCGGAGCGGCGAGGGGGGGGAGAAGGGGGTAGAGCTGCTGATACGCGAGAAGAGGGCGGAAAAGGGGATAAACGCGACGAGAGCGCGCACGCAAGCTCCAGCTGCACGCAATAAACGTGCATTAAGCCACGCACATGTGGTCCGAAACCATCGGGATTATGGCGAGAGCTAATTA